ACATTGACTACCTGAAGCTTATCTCTACACATTGACTACCTGAAGTTTAGTCTCTACACATTGACTTCCTGAAGTTTAGTCTCTACACATTGACTACCTGAAGTTTAGTCTCTACACATTGACTACCTGAAGTTTAGTCTCTACACATTGACTACTTAAAGCTCAGTCTCTACACATTGACTACCTGAAGCTTAGTCTCTACACATTGACTACCTGAAGCTTAGTCTCTACACATTTACTACCTGAAGCTTATCTCTACACATTGACTACCTGAAGTTTAGTCTCTACACATTGACTATCTGAAGCTTATCTCTACACATTGACTACCTGAAGTTTAGTCTCTACACATTGACTACTTGAAGCTTATCTCTACACATTGACTATCTGAAGTTTAGTCTCTACACATTGATTACCTGAAGTATAGTCTCTACACATTGACTACCTGAAGTTTAGTCTCTACACATTGACTACCTGAAGCTTAGTCTCTACACATTGACTACCTGAAGCTTAGTCTCTACACATTGACTATCTGAAGTTTAGTCTCTACACATTGACTACCTGAAGTTTAGTCTCTACACATTGGCTACCTGAAGTTTAGTCTCTACACATTGACTACCTGAAGTTTAGTCTCTACACATTGACTACCTGAAGTTTAGTCTCTACACATTGACTACCTGAAGCTTAGTCTCTACACATTGACTACCTAAAGCTTAGTCTCTACACATTGACTATCTGAAGTTTATTCTCTACACATTGACTACCTAAAGCTCAGTCTCTACATACGGGTACTTTTTATGTGCACACCATGAGAAGGTAAGCATTTAAATATTTCGTCAGAACTGGAGTGAGAGAGGGGAGCAGAAGCAGAAGAACACCAAGAGAAAGATGTTGGACAATTTGGGATCATGGTATGGAAAAATATCCGTATCAGAAGTATTTTACAGAGCTTGTTATCGAAGGCTGTGGACAAATATGATTATGAAAATAATACGGGTAATTTATCTGAATAAGGACGTCTCTGTGGCTAAATCGATGCGAACGCTTCGTAATGCCGGGATTCAAGGTTCGATCCCAGTTGCGGGCCATGCGCCTTGCGTTGGTTCGACAGTGGTATCAAGAAAGCTGACTGTCCAGAAAGCAATGGCAAACTACTGGACGTAAATTTGCCTGAAAAACCCCACAACAGCCAGTGGCTGTTGGGGTTTGTTCTGCAACGCCCTGTAAAGGATACGCATCTGAATAGGAACAAACTCAGCAGTGGAGTGCCATTCACGGATTTTGATCTATTAAAATATTTTACTTTTTTGGGCAATGGTACTGAAAACAGTGACTAACCGCTATTGATCTGATACGAAGAATGAATGAAATGAAACCAACAACGCAACTACCAAGGTTTACGAAAAGGAAAGACAAACAGAAACCATTTAAATCAAAGTCTTTAAAAAAGTCTTTTTTTTTTTTATTTTAGAGATGATCTTCATCGTACATCGGACATAACCATAAGTGCTCCGATCTCCACCTGAGTTTGTCTCCAAGTGTTTTTGTGCTAACAACTCCGTTCTGTTCTGGTTGGTGTAACGAAGGGTGGCTCCAGCATGGTTTTCCCGTCTGCTGCTCCAGTTGTTACACCCAGGGTATACTGTCTATTTAATTAAAAAAAACATTTTTCCATGAAACTGAAAGCGTTAAGTCTCTCGTACAGCATTGAACTTTGAGAGATCCACCCCAGTGTTTTTTTTAGTGGGGGGGGGGGGGGGGGTTGGGTGGGTGGGGTGGCGGAATTTAAAAAAAAAACCTCTTAGGAGAAGGTGAGCACCTTTTCCCTCGCCAATTGATAAAAAGTACCCGAATGTAGAGACTAAGCATCAGTAAAGGAGACTGATGGAAGAAGTAGGTGGCGGGAGTAAAAATGACACTACAAAAACACAGTATGACATCAACACAAGCTAGGCAGGTAGCACACGTCAGAAAACTACTTATAATTTCTCTATTTGACACTTTACGGTAAAAGCGTTAGAAAAATAAATATATAAAGAAGAGGATGAAGATCTGTTTGCTAATAAAGACTTTAGAACAGACAATCGCTTGTTGTCTGAGTGACTGCATTTTCCTGAGCTTTACCGTTGTACTCTGTTTTTCGTTTCTCACTGAGTAAGTAGTTGCCAAATTAGTTAGTTAGTCGAGGTTTCAACATCACCGCAATCGGGTTTCCACATACTTGCTCCGCTCCTGTGGCAGAGCGAATAAAATTAAATATCCGTCACTGTTGCTGGTGAATAAACAACTAGTTCCGGAACAATCCAGAAATATTTGCACGCCGTAAATGAGTATTTCAGTTGCTCGAGGCGCCAAAGCCAACAATCGCCACCAGAAATGCAGTTTGTCGGTGATGGAAGCAGTCGGTAACGATAAGTAGGTTACTATACACACGTAGAATTCTTACATAAGGTATTTCACCAGCTCACATGCAAAACCAGCCTTATTGAACAAAACGACACAACAGCTGCACAAATGAAAGGCATTTCATAGGAAAAACATAACTCACAGGGCTGCAAACAAGCACTAAACTGTAACCTGGGCAGCGAAACCGTCGACTACCGTCCTTATGTGGAAACTGCATTAACAAAGCGCTATCGGAGGCAGATATAACTTCGAAGCCTAACATTCAGCCATGCCTTTTCTCAATTTTGGCCAAAAATAGTTGCCAACTGTCTCTGTTTTCTATCAGTCGTACTAGACTCTCCACGGTACTTCTAAAACTGAACAAAAGCTAGCGATCGCTTTACATACAGTGCCCAGTATAATGATTCTAGTTTACATAAATCCACAATAAATATGGCGATAAAGGCAATCTACTTGGTGGTGATAGATTTCTTCTTCTTCGCTCTGACCGACTATAAACTCCGGCGAAAGTTTCTCATTGTTCATCCACTTCTGGACTTTAGTCGTGTTCCAGAGCTTGACTTTTAAGTTCACGTCCGTGTGACAGATCTTATTTATTTGTAAACATACTTTTGGTTTCTCGTCTCTCAAGAAGACTGACTTCACAATGAAGGAAACACCCATAATTTGCTATTTGTGTGACATTTGGGGAAGGGGGAGGGAGGGGGGAGGGTTGTCTATTTTTTTCTCCTATAATGGACCAAAGAACACACTCACGGGTGTCATCTGTCCTGATCACTATCAAAAAGAAAATACGACAAAGTGTCAAGGGCTGACAGGTCGACACAGCTTAAAACTGATACAATGAAATGTTAGGGGAGTTAAAAGTGGACCCTGGAAACTTACTACCTTATTCAGAAAGTTCCTATTGGTATATGCCAGCGCTATAGGCCCAATACGCAACATATTGTGGAATGGAACCTTCCCCTATAACTCTTTCAGTACCAAGCAGCTCACTTCTATTGGTAATTCATGAATTATATGCCTTTCACAAATCTGTGTGCCCTATTTAGTTTTTACATTATTCTTCTCTATGCCACGGTATTGTTACTCTTTCCTTTCGTATGTTTATAATTGTAAGTTCTTCAGACATAACATTTATTAGTTTAATGTAGCATTGACTCGGGCAGAACAAGTTACAACAGCAACTGGCTGGGAATTAAAGAGTAAATACCCAGTTTTAATATTGTTTAATATTTAGTTTGTAATGCCTTCAGCCATCAGGCGTCCTATCTTTGCTATTGCACGCTTCTCAACCATATGATCTCTTTATCTTTTTTACCTAACTCTTCGCCATGGACTTTTAAGAAAATATGTATGAATGCTAGGTGTTGGTTGCACGAGACAGCGAAATATAATTTGCTACACGTACTGGCATTACATATGATAAGGGTCAAAACATTCCTACAGGCGGATTTAGAAAACTTGTTTCACCCCTTTCCACACACTTGTTGACCGCGTAGTTTTTAAGGTTTGGACTTGGGGCGGGGGCAGGGGGTGTTAGGGGTAGGGGAGCAGATGGGGCCGGGGGCGGGGGGTATAGATGGGATAAAAGGGGGCGTTTGTAAGGATGACCTTGCGTCTGTAGCTGGAGTGTTAGCGGAGCATTTAGAAAGTAAAACTCCACATTTATTTTCACTGACAATAGTAAGATAGTTGCACGGAAAATTTCATGCTTTAAATTTGAAATGTCAATATTGTGTGTACATAATGGCAACTCATTCCTAAAAAAAAAAAAAAACTATAACAACAAAAACAACAGCTGTTTCAGTCAAATATTATAATAGGAGAGGACAATGTGCGTTAAACCAGCGATTTGTCAACATTCTTGTTGTTGAAAAACAAAATCTACTTTGAACATTCATAAACTTGTGTGCTCTGTGTATTGCAGTTGTGCAGTCGATAGGAGCAGATTGATGGCTGAGTTCAGAGAGTTACAGCTTGCAGAAAACGAAGATATAGCTTTTATATAGCCGTAATTAAAGCTGTGAAGCCTAGGCGAACATGCAAAAGCAGACACAGGCAAGGCGCACGTGCCTTTATTTTGTTTTGGCATTAGGTGACATGTGCAGTATGAGACTATATAAAATTAGGATGTATAAAAAACATAATCAATTATATTGTTAGCGAATTTCACATACACACACACATACACGCACACACAAACGTTTGCGAAAAAAATGAATGTGTCATTAGTATCCGAAAGCCCCTCGTATTCGGCACACATTGATGATTTTTTTTGTAGATTTACCCGACTCCTCATTGATTTAGACAACCGTATAAGCGTCGTATCGTTTAAAAGGCAATGGCAAATCGCATGGTTAAGCCAAACCGAGAAATAAAAATGCAACTGCTGGCTTGTGAAAAAAAAAATCATTGATTATTTTTCTGATTATAAAAATACTTGGTATAATCATTTTTGAATGTCAAAGCATACCACAATATACAGACGACACACTAACACGCCATGTTGCTAAATGTTGACATTTTACACAAAAAATACTACTTTGGTTTACAAATAATGTCATAAAACTACAACCACGAAAATCGTATCAGTTTTACTGAGGTTTAACGGAGAAGCAAAACGGAAACATCTCGATGTAAGTTGACCTGAACGAGGAGCTCATGGCTAAGAAGACAAACAGATTAACAGAACCGTTGAGAAAATCAAATGTAAACACCACATACGCCATGACAGTAATGAGGTTGTGATACTGTCTGAGGTAGTAGAACTCCGGGATGAAGTATTTGGCCAGGTAATGGGCAACTCGAGGAACCAAGTTGACGATAAATATAACTATAATGACAAGAAGCATCTTCACCACTTGCTGGTCACGCTTGGATAAAAGTTTGGAAGGTCTTGTGTTCAAACCTTTGTTGTCCTTTTCAATGCTTGCGTTATTGACTGCACCAGCTGCCACTTCTTTATGGGTGAGCCGAAATTTGGAAGCTTCTTTGAGCTTGTAAGAGATGATAACGGTAGAGATTACGATTACAACGAGGCTGGCGAGAGGCCACAAAGCACCGGACATGTTGTAGTAGTAAAACAAGTTGGTGTTGTTTTGGGAAAAACGGTTATACTTGTATATAGCAACCCTGGTGTTAAAGTTACTGTTATACACCCAGACTACATCGTAAATGCCGAAGATTACCGCAAAGTATCCAAACACGGAAACGGAAATAACGGTGCATATTATTAGAGCTAATTTTGGTGTCAGAAGCCATTTGACCTTTAGAGGCATGGTGACGCATAAACAACGCTCGACGGCGACGTACGCAGCAAGGACGCTGGTGACGTATGTAGAGAAGGAACCCAGATAGTTGAATATTACCACACTTATGTTTGACCAGCTGAATGCAGCGGCTGGATCAAACAAACTGATTGGACCATAGCATCGCTGCATAAAGCCACCAAGACATTTAATGAGATCCCACATAGAGATTGCAGTCATGGATATCCCGACGCTGTCCTTGAATCCTTGTTTGACAAATACGCTAATGACAATGATGTTTGTGAAAATTCCCAGCAAAGAAATGATGAAATTCACAGTTAGTTCCAAAGCAATCTCAATAACACGCCTAGCTTTATTTGTAACAAAAATTTCTGGTGGAATGAACTCTGCAAAGTAGACATCCAGTTGGACATCTGCCACTTCTATAGTAGACATGATTTGTTGAGAACTCTGATTCAAATACTGAATCATTCTTTCTGCCGACTGCTACAATAAACTGCAAGAATATTATGAGTACACAACAAATTCATTAAGAGGAAATCACATGTTTATCTCGGACTAGTCCATAGATTATAAATATTTTCAAACGTAAATTTTGATTGGACTTTTTTATAGGCCATTCGTTTCTCCTACTTAAATGTTGCTTTCAGAAAATGAAAAAATGAAAAAAAAAAAAAATGTAAAAATTATTTTATGTACACAAAATTGTCATCCTATAGAAACGAGAATCGAAGAAGTATGAGAAGTCCAAACCTATTATTGCTATAGGACAAATGACGGATACAAGTAAAGTAAAGGGCCTTTCCCACGCCTTTCAGGCGTATTGAGTATATAAATGGCTAGATCTATATTTTAAAGACTAAACGGCACTTTACCTCCCAGGTTTGTACCTGGTACTCACTCAAGGCTGGGTCGACCTGGGAGCCAAGTTCATTTCTGAAAAAAGTTCGGTTCCGTCAGGACTCGAACCCACGACCTTCTCATCCAGGCGAGCGTCTACCCGCTAGACCACGGCGGCTCCTCAATTAAACGATAAAAAAAAAAAAAAAGTTAAGATCCCTTTCCACGTTTTTAGGCGTATCGGGCATATGGGAAGAGCGCCCATATTTTTACAGACCATCAGCACTCGGGGTGGGTAATGTGGTGAGCATTACGCCGGCTGTCTTTACTTTCCCAGGACAGCCCATCCCGGTACCCATTGTAGGCTAGGTCGACCTACAACGCCCCATGCCATGATAAAAATCCACGCAGTCAGCAGTGGGCAATTGACCGATACTATCTAAAAAATATCGCAGGGAACTCATTACCCGCGGCTACTCGTTGCAACTACGGACACAGTTTTATAAATTATTTTACACGTTCATGGTTTTTTCTTGTGTAAGATTATATCGCTTTATCAAGGTGAAAGCTCCATAACTAGAAATTATGTTTCTTTTTTTTTTTTTTTGGTTGTTCTTTGTTTGGTTATAGCGGCTGCGTCTTTACATTGTTTGAATGTTTTTTTTTTGCAAATATGTTTTTAATAACGTTTTAATTCCAATGTTGGCTTACAACTTTATTACAAAAAATTAACTAGAACCTATCATACAATAGTTCCGTTGTGCAATCAGCTTAAGATTACTTCAGCACGTGAACTTATCATACACATTTTCATTATTTGCACCTGCCACACATTTTTAAATAATTGTACCTATCATAATTATGTTACCATTTGAATCTGACATATAATATTTTTAACATTTGAATACGACATATACAATTTAAAATTTTTGAAAATTTAACACTATTACAACATTCTAACCTGCTATAGCCTATTCTATAATTTTAACCTGCCATACGTTTGAAGCTATTGTACAGTAATCCAACATTTGACCTTACCATACAGTAATCCAACATTTGACCTTACCATACAATAATCCAACATTTGACCTTACCATACAGTAATCCAACATTTGACCTTACCATACAGTAATCCAACATTTGACCTTACCATACAGTAATCCAACATTTGACCTTACCATACAGTAATCCAACATTTGACCTTACCATACAGTAATCCAACATTTGACCTTACCATACAGTAATCCAACATTTGACCTTACCATACAGTAATCCAACATTTAACCTTACCATACAGTAATCCAACATTTGACCTTACCATACAGTAATCCAACATTTGACCTTACCATACAGTAATCCAACATTGGACCTTACCATACAGTAATCCAACATTTGACCTTACCATACAGTAATCCAACATTTGACCTTACCATACAGTAATCCAACATTTGACCTTACCATACAGTAATCCAACATTTGACCTTACCATACAGTAATCCAACATTTGACCTTACCATACAGTAATCCAACATTGAAACCTACCATACATTAATCCAAAATGTAAATCTACAGTGCAATAATCCATCATTTGAACCTAACATACAATAATCCATCATTTGAACCTAACATACAATAATCCAACATTTGAACCTAACATACAATAATCCAACATTTGAACCTAACATACAATAATCCATCATTTGAACCTAACATACAATAATCCAACATTTGAACCTAACATACAATAATCCAACATTTGAACCTAACATACAATAATCCAACATTTGAACCTAACATACAATAATCCAACATTTGAACCTAACATACAATAATCCAACATTCAAACGAATCCTAGAATAGTTTAACTTTATAAGCCCAGATTGTGTGGTGTTTAGTGAAACATAAATGGCAGCCATATCCAGAAGTGTGTCTGCAATCACCAGACAGCAGTTAGAGCCATTGTTGCATTTATTATTAGAATAGAATAGCTTGTTGCTTAGTAAAGTAAAGGTCCCTTTTGCACACTCTCAGGTGTATCTTCTTCTTCTTCTTTACTTACTCTTTTACTGCTACAGGTGTCGAGGGAGAATATAAGGTCCTGCTTCGTGCTCGTCTGGCTGCTTCGACCATAGACACATCGTTATACTGTAGAGTTTCTCTGATGCTATCTTTACGTTGGTTCTTGGTCCACCTCTTGCTCTACGCCCTTCTCCTCTTTTGGCATATGCCATGAAGGTATAGCATCAGAAGGCATTCTCTCCAAGTGGGCAAACATTTGATTTTTTTTGTCTTTGTATGTAATTTATAATTGCTATTTTTTTATGTAATTAAGAATTTATAATTCAGGCGAATTGGGATAGTTAAAAAAAAAGAACCCTTTTCCACGCCTTCAGGCGTATTGGGCATATAGGGCTAGACCTATTTTTGTATAGACAAATCAGCACTCTGTGTGGGATGTGGTCAGCATCGTGCCGGCCGTAGTTAGTTTCAGTGACATCACCTAAAACCCATTATAGGTTTGGCCCGATCTGGTTTATTGGTACTTGTACGTCTTTGCAGACGACAATGTTATAATGTGAGGAGGCACAGGATTCACAACGCATGGCCATGGCGAGCATGACTAGCTAGAGCAGCTGGCGTTAAGGCTAGTTTTCTACATCTCATGCATGGGATTTCATCTGGCTTGATGAAGATTCAAACCTAAGACCTTCTAGTAAGCGATTGAGCGTCTGGCCATAGAAAACCGAAGAAGACCAGACAACGCACGGAAAATTTAGGAGATCACTATGCATATTTTAAAGAGAACATATAGGGAGCAGCAAAAGATGGTGAAAGAAAAACGGCTTAGATGCGTCTGCAGTAAATAAAGGGACTGGAAAAGCTATAACAAATAAAAAGAAGGTGAGAGGAGCCAATTGTCGCTGGACTGGATTCCATCCAAGAAATCGAAGAGATTGCACAGGATAGAATGTTATGGATGAATAAACTGCGAGCCATGTGTGGAATTTACCGGCACAAAAGAACAATGATGATAATGGGCTTTTAGTAAGTCTATGATAATAGGCAGTTAAGTTAGTTGCGTATCATTTACAGGACGTATTAGAACCAGTCGCAGCGGGTTTTTTTAGCTGTTGTGGTGGTTTTTCTAGGTGAATTTCCGTTAAGTAGTTTGTCATTGCTCTCTAAACGGTCGGCTCTGGATTGTCATTGCTCTCTAAACGGTCGGCTCTGGATACCACTGTCATAACCAACGCAATGCAATTTTCTGCTAAATCCCTGGCAGCTGGGATAGACCACCCCCCCCCCCCTTCTTGCATTACTAAGCACTTTCGCAACACCTAAGCCATTGACGCCAATAAGCAGACAAGCTGACGAACGCAACGGCGGCAAAAGTGTAGTTTGTGAGAAGAATGTAAAAAATATCACGGAGTGACAGAACAACAAGCGATGCAGTACTCATTGAGACAGATGGAAGTCATTAGAATAATTTGACATATGTGCGCAATGTTTTTGGGCGTGTTGTGACAAAAAATAGACTCAAGAATTTAGTAACAACTTCAAATATAGTCACACAGAGAGCAAAAGGAATGCAAACAAGGACAGCTTGGCTATATGGATGAGGCGAGACAAGAACACTGACTTAATCCATGATTTTGGTGATCATGTGAAATGGCAAAACACGACAACATACGCTTACTAGTACGGTACATGATGGTGATGACATATTTTAGGATAAATACCAGGAGAAGAAAGCGTTGTAATATAAGTGTTCTCAATTAGACAAGACCTGAAAAACCCTCTAATTTTCGAAGGTCTGCAAAAGGTCCCGTACATTTTAAAAGTCACACTAAAGAAAATGATAATTAAATCAACCAGGCAACGACCAGACCCAACACAAGACGACTACTTTGTTCAGGGCAGATCAAAGCAAGTAATTGTCGTGGGCCTCAAACAGGGCACAACCAGTTATGCAGCTACATATGCACAAAGTTTAAGATAGGCGTATCAGACATGTGCACATGTAGAAAATCACCCCAAACAACAGTGAAAGGCAAACTCTGCGAAGCACAGAATTAACTAAAAACGGCAGCGAATTTTACACGAGAAACAAACTTCCTGATATACAAAACTTATTTCAGGAGAATGACAGAAAAAGAAGAAGAACTTGTCATAAAATATAAGTATTAGAAACGCAAAAACGATCGTATTTTTATAGTTTAGTTTGTATCTTTTTAATAAAATCCAAGATCGTTTAAATTGTTTCGGGGATTCAAGGAGCTGCCGACCACTACACTGGAAACACTATTGAAACGAAACACTACATATGGAATTGATTGATGTTATGTCATTGTGAAAAAAAAAATGTATTGTTCTAGAAGATCATACTTATCAAAACTGCGTTTTTCTAAAACATGTATAAGTTAGAGTGCTGACACATTTCAATGAAATGAAATGGGTAGAAGGGGAGGGGGTTAAACTCTGTTTTTTTTTTTGGGGGGGGGGGAAGAGGGGGGGGGGGGGGTATCAATTTCTGTTGATAATTTTGCCCGTTTAACTTTATGGGTAAGTCGGCACTTGACGGAAGCTGTAAGTGT